TTTATAGATTGAGTTGTTTGTATATTATTGCTAAGAAATAGCAATCTTGGCTTTTTACTATCAGCAGCTTAATAAATTCATTTGTGAATTTGACTCAATTTATAATTTTTTAAAATAGTCTTGGATTTTTTACATTCTCAATGAAGAATAACAGTTTCTTCATAAATGACATAGTTTGGAGTGGAGGAGAGGGAATACTTACTACAATGGCTAGAACCTCTAAAATAAATGTTAAATAGAAGCAGTGATAGGTATTTTCTTACTAATKTCAGAGCCAAATTTTTCAACATTTTACTGCTAAGTATGCTGTTTGTGATATTTTTTGATAACTTTTATCACATCAGAGAAGTTTCCTTCTATTTTTAGATCATTAAAAATTTTTGTTATGTTTTGAATTTCATAAAACATTTAAATAAATGTTTTTCTGCCATCTATTGATATGATTAGTTGATATTTATCTTTTTATCTATTAATGAGATGAATTACATTGGTTAATTTTTGAATGTTAAAGCCAAGCTTTTATTTCTGATATAAACCTAACTTGGTCATTGATATTTAGTCTGATTTGATAGTGAACATTTTGATTTTGCATCTGTGCTCATGAGTGATATGCACCTGTGGTTTCCTTTCTTGTTTTCAAAGATATGCTAGCCATATGAAAAAAAAAAAGTTTAAATTTGTTTTCCTTTTCTTCTTCTTCTTCTTCTTTTTTTTTTTTTTTGAAAAATTCAACAATATAATTCTGGCTGGGATTTTATTTGTGGGAAGATTTTCAATTGCAGATTCAATTTCTCAAGTAGATATGATGTTTTTGATTTTCCATTTCTACTGGTATCTGTTTTGATAGGTTGTCTTTTTCCTGTAATTTATTTTTCAGTTAAAAGGTTTTTGTTTGTTTGTTTTTAGAGACGAACTTTTTAAAAAATTTATATAACAGCGGAATGCATTACAATTCTTATTACATATACAGAGCTCTATTTTTTATATCTCTGGTTGTATACATAGTATATTTACATCAATTTCTGTCTTTGGATAATAATGATCATCACATTCAACCATCATTGATTGCCCCATGCCCCCTCCCTTCCCCTCCCACCCCTCTGCCCTATCCAGAGTTGTCTATTCCTCCCATGCTGCCTCTCCCTATTCCACTATGAATCAGCTTCCTTATATCAAAGAAAGCATTAGTCATTTGTTTTTGGGGGGATTGGCTAACTTCACTTAGCATTATCTTCTCTAACTCCATCCATTTACCTGCAAATGCCATGATTTTATTCTCTTTTATTGCTGAGTAATGTACCATTGTGTATATATGCAACATTTTTTATCCATTCATCTACTGAAGGGCATCTAGGTTGGTTCCACAATTGAGCTATTGTGAATTGTGCTGCTATAAACACTGATGTGGCTGTGTCCCTGTAGTATGCTATTTTTAAGTCCTTTGGGTATAGAGTGAGGAGAGGGATAGCTGGGTCACATGGTGGTTCCATTCCCAATTTTCCAAGAAATCTCCATACTGCTTTCTGTAATGGCTGCAAAACAATTTACAGTCCCACCAGCAGTGTATGAGTGTACCTTTTCCCCCACATTCTCGCCAACACTTACTGTTTGTATGCATAATAGCTGCCATTCTGACTGGAGTGAGATGAAATCTTAGAGTGGTTTTGATTTGCATTTCTCTAATTGCTAGTGATGATGAACATTTTTTCATGTGTTTGTTGATTGATTGTACATCATCTTCTGAGAAGTATCTCTTCAGGTCCTTGGCCCATTTATTGACTGGGTTATTTGTGTTTTTGGTGTCTAGTTTTTTGAGTTCTTTATATACCCTAGAGATAGTGCTCTATCTGATGTGTGAGGGGTAAAGATTTGCTCCTAAGATGTAGGCTTTCTGTTCACCTCACAGATTGTTTTTAGTTTGAGTCCATCCCATTTATTGATTCTTGATTTTAATTATTGTGCCACAGGAGTCTTATTAAGGAAGTTGGGGCCTAATTCCACATGATGGAGATTAGGGTCTATTTTTTCTTGTATTAGATGCACGGTCTCTGGTTTCACTCCTAAGTCCTTGATCCATTTTGAGTTGCGTTTTGTGCATGGTGAAAGATAGGGGTTTCATTTCATTTTGTTGCATTATGGATTTCCAGTTTTCCCAGCACCATTTGTTGAAGAGAAGCTATCTTTTCTCCAGTGCATGTTTTTGGCACCTGTATCTAATATAAGATAATTGTAATTTTGTGGGTTAGTCTCTGTGTCCTCTATCCTGTACCGTTGGTCTTCAGTCTGTTTTGGTGCCAATACCATGCTGTTTTTGTTACTATTGCTCTGTAGTGTAAGTTTAAGGTCTGGTATAGTGATGCCACCTGCTTCACTCTTCCTGCTAAGGATTGCTTTAGCTATTCTGGTTCTCTTATTTTTCCATATGAATTTCATGAGTGCTTTTTCTATTTCTATGAGGAATGTCATTGGAATTTTGATTGGAATTGCATTAAATCTGTATAATGCTTTTGGAAGTATGGCCATTTTAATAATATTAATTCTGCCTATCCAAGAGTAAGATAGATCTTTACATCTTCTAAGGTCTTCTTTGATTTCTTTCTTTTTGGTTCTATAATTTTTATTATATAGATCTTTCACCACTTTTGTTGATTCCCGGCAGGAACATATCTCAACATCATAAAGGCTATCTATGCTAAGCCCCAGGCCAACATCATTCTAAATGGAGAAAAATTGAAGGCATTCCCTCTAAAAACTGGAACAAGACAGGAATGCCCTCTTTCACCACTTCTATTTAACATAGTTCTTGAAACATTGGCCAGAGCAATTAGACGAAAGAAATTAAAGGGATACATATAGGAAAAGAAGAACTCAAATTGGCATCAGAGACCAACTTTTGACTTTCCTGATTCTCTCTTGAGTAATTCTCTCTTGACTAATTTCTTTTGTGATCTCTTCCTTGATAGATTAATTATTTGGAAGTATATTAATTAATTTTGAAAATCAGGGTTCCCTAGATGTGTTTGTTATTGATTTCTAATGTAATTCCAAAATGATGAGTTAACATAGTATAAATCAGAACTATTTAGACTCTCTGTGTAAGAAGTCTTTTTTTTTTTTTTTTCCTTCAATCTCTGGTGGAACTGAAAGCTTTTGTAAAACATAATAAAAATGAATTTACTAGAAAATGAAGTTTTATGTGTGTGTGTGTGTGTGTGTGTGTGTGTGTATAATGTGTGTGTATAATCTAAGCACTGATTTATATTATTAGATTTTACAAAAAGACACTACTTTATCAAAAGGCTATAATATTTTCTAAACATTCAATTTCTAGACACCCTGGTTGTGATTCAGTAATAGTGTAATTCAATCCATACACATAAATTAAAAACCTGTGTCCTTCTATCTTAAACAGAATGAGTGGTAGAGAATTCAGCATTATTCTGAATAAACTGTCTCTAACACTGCCATCAATAAATATAATGTTTAATAAGACTTTCAATCTTCTGTGCCTTTGATTTTTTTTTCCAACTGCTAAATGAGGATATAATGGTCAGTGATTTAAATATCCAGAATGCATATAAGTCAATTAAAGATTATGTTTAAGTTCAATTAATGTTTTAATATTTTTTGAGGATACRTAAGATTCCTGACATCTCCTTGATAACTCTAAAAATGTAATCAGCTTACCAAGATTGAAATTACCTATTCCAAGGTCATTTTCAGAGATAATCATGAAGTCAACTTATTTCATAACCAAGTAGGTTATGAACTATCTTTGTGATTCTTTTAATATATTCAAGGACATTGTGTGTTATATTCTATAAGTGTTTATAGCAATTCAGATCCTAATATGAAAATGTCAGTGGTATCCTCAAGGGCAAAAAGCTAAATATAGCTTCCGCCGGCATTGCTCTTTCTAATGCAGCCCCATGTTTGTTGATCTGCTTTCTTTTTCCTTCATAAGGTGGGTGGTATCATATCAGAACAACTTACACCTACACTATCTGGATATAATTTGGTTTCTTGTAAGGTCTACAGAGACGTTACAACRTTTTCAACATCTATAGATGGTTTGCACTTAAGGGGAGAAAACAAAATAAAAACAAACACAGAAAGACTGGTGAACTGTAATATGATTGTTAGCTCACGCATTAAGCAATGACAGTATTCAGGACTAGAAGTTAGAGTATGATGTTTAAATAGCTTTAATGTGACAGTTTGGGGTTAGTATTTTTGTATGTCAAATAGGCACTGCTCATGATTTATAATGATTCTGCATTTGAAATTCACCTCAATTTTCCTCTTGCTGTTTGCATTAGAAACAAAGAACTCTGAAAAAGAGCTGACTTAATTTTATTTTAAGATACTGTGAATCCAAGACTACTTCTGATATTCTAATGGGATCATTGCAGAGAACAAGAAGAATTTCTTTTAATATTTTTATTATCACTCACTTATTAGTATTAGTTCATTCATCTATATTAACAAATATGATTTTTAGGCAGTGGATGTTGCCTTTTTTAACATGTGTTTAATTGTTCTGGAATGATAAGACTTGAGAAGACTTTAAAAATATCCTTTAGATTGATTTACCTCTTTCTTAAAAGTAATGAATATTCACTGCTTTTTAAGAAAAAAAAATCATGGGAAAAGACTTTTTTCTTTTGTTTACCTAACCATCCACTTAAGTTCAGAAAATTCTCTGGTCAGGTGTAGGATTGGTAAATGTCTGACTAGTGAATATTTGAGTGGTTTTCCTATTATACATGATCATACCTCTGATTTCTCAGAAGTTTGTTTTTGATTGTTGCACATCTGAATACTTCACTAACCAAGGTTAATTTGTCACTGTTTGATTCCTACTAAGCATATAAAATAATCTATCAAAGAATGGGGAAATATGAGAATTATAATTGAATGTTTTTTTCTATATCAAGAATGTTTAAAAATGTCAATAATGAAGTATGTTTTAATCCATTCATTTTTCTTTGTCTTCTCAGGTGGATCTCCTTACTTAGCAACCAAAATCAATGAAGCAAAAGACTTGCTGGAAGCAACCACCAAATATTGATTGATGCTCAAGAGCCAAGATGAAGGAAAAAAAATAGAGGACTTAAAAAAAAAAATAGTCCTGCCAATTAATCTGAAATATGGTCTTGATTTTCATACACCTATTGACCATAACCTTTTTTCCATCCTTCAATTATATAATAATAAAAGTTTAATAGACTTGCTTTTTTATTTTCTTTTAAAGGAATCCTGGAAATTTTGTAGCTGGTATTTTGCCTTATTATTTTCTTTGTAATATTCATACTTTTAATGGTTTTTGTTATATTAGTCCTAAACATCCTTCTCTTCCTTCACACACACACACACACACACACACACACACAGTGTACAAAAGCACGATCATCTCTGGGGCAGTTGGAATTTGGGAGCACTGAGCAGAAGTGTTCTTATGCTTGTATTTGTACCTCTTTGTCCTTTGTTTCTTCAGAGGAATTTGAGACTCTGCCTAAGTAAGGTGCTTGAATGCTTTGAGACCAACATTGGCTGCCACCTCATGAAGAAATGATCCGATATAATGGAATTTACTAAATGGTGATTTGTTAAGTAGGGGTTGGGACTTCTTAAAGAACTCTGCTGTCTCTGAGATCCTATAACTGAAGCATRAGAACTTGGAGAGCCACTAAAATGATTAAAGATTCATAAAATGAGCCCTCTGAGGAACAGCTGAAAAGGGGTGGGAGAAAACAGAGGAGTTTGTATTTAATTATAGTCTTTCCATACTGTTTATTTATTTAATTATTCATTCTACAATTTTTATTGACCATCTCTATTGTGTAAGGCACTGTAGTGGGTCCTCTGAGAGTTACAAGTATGAACCAGCTGTGGATCCTGACTCAGAGGAACTTCTCTATAGAGAATACTGGTAGAGAGGTGCAGATGATATGTTAATGAAGTTCAAAAAATAGAAGAATATTTTAAACTCAGTACATGGTGGGGAGGGCCTTTGTGGAACAAGTGGCCCAGAGCTGGGTGTTTAAAAAGATAATAACACATTCCATATGATTAATAAGTCAGTATTGTTTCTCCTGAGATCAGAATTAGCAGAAATTATTTGCAGAAATAGATTTATTATTTAGTGCAATTATAATGTAGAGTTTCTTCTCAAAAGCAAGGGATGGACAGAATAGTTATGAAAGGCCAGCTCTATAATTTAATTGAGAATTTGAGTCATTCCAGCATTTGCCTGTAATCTCCTTCATTCCCATTTTCCTGCTATGCATGTGCCTCAGAGTCAAATCTGGTTTTGAATACTATCTTCCCAGTGATCTTGGGCAGTTACTTAATTTGCAAGTCTGTAACCCTCAGGATAAAATAGAGAAAATAATCCTAATAAGTTTGTTGTAGGGAATAAATATGTGTAAATCATTTAGTCATGTAGCAAATGTCCAAAAAATAAATTACTTCTTTCATTTCACTTTTTTCCCATTAATTTTATCTTTTAGAACACAAGTTTGAGGGTGTTTTCTGATAATCGTTCATTTTGCTTTTGAATCTACAATTTGGTGGGGTCATATAGGAGATTGCTCATCTCTAGTCCAGGAAGCACCAACTGTGGCTGGAGGAGCCACTTCCTGTGATGGCAAATTGGAACTGGTAGTTAGCTGAGAGCCATGGTTCCCCTCTGCATAGGCTTCTCCCAGGGCTGCTAGAGCTTGTCACACCATAGCAGTTGTGCTGCAAGTGATGGTTGTCCAAGAGAGGAAATGGAAGCTGCCAAACTGTCTTGAGTCAGAGCATTACTTCTGCCATATTCAGTTGGTCTGAAAGTTACAAAGCCTGCCTAGACAAAGGAAGAGGAAAGAGAAAGTGTGAAAGAATCACTGATCATCTTTAATATGTAACCAGGGCATGGTTGATAATTTTTTCTCTTAATCAAATTGGTAAGGCATTACTTTAAAAATAAATTAGTCATGTACAACTCCTTGGAGTATAAGCCTAGGCAGTTTCAGATAATACAGCTACTGTTTTAGGCAGATATTAATTTAGTAGTAACTCTAAATGGCAGTGTAGTTATAAAATTGGAGTTTGACCAGCTACCCACCCTCAACTCCTTATTATCTATAAAAAGCTTATTTGAATGGTTACCTAGCTTCAGTAAAGATTGCTTTTATATATCTGCTGTCATTGCATATTCTGCTTAATTAAACTTTTTGTTGATACTGCAGTTTTTCTTTATTTTTACATCTTAGATGCAGTCTGAGGGAACAGGGAAGACCTTTTAAAAACACAATTTCTTGACAGAGTATAAGATGGACAGTTATAGGAGAGAATAGAGTGCCATTTAGATTAGAGTCAGTGGGGCCAATCTAGACCATGAAGTCAAAAGAAGTTTAGTAAGAGAAAAAAAAAAAAGTGTTGAGTGTAGCAGACATTGTTTTATTTAGTCTACAAAGCATTTCCTTTATTTGAAAATCATTTTAGTCATTTAGGATATCTGAACCTTATATCAGGCAGTAAAAATACAATATGGGTTAATTCTTTAATGTGTTAAAACTAAACAAATTATATATATTCTTAAACATAGGTAACTTTTTTGCCTCATGCTTTTTAATTAACAAGAATTATTCAGAGTTGTGTTACTTGTGATTATCCAGCAGGGTCATGAGAGAGAACATATTTTATTTGTGCAGAGAGCTTTTGGTTGTCATAGGGAACCTCAAACACAGAAAAGAGCTTTCAATGACTTATCTTTAACATGTTCCACAATTAAATTAAGATCGTTTAATGACACTTGTGAGAGAAGATGAATCAGGCCCTTAAATATTAAAAAAAAAAAATGTTTCTTTGACTCAGCTGACTTAGGATATGCTACAGAGACTGCAGTGAGAAGTTAAGTATCCAAGTAGGGGATATTATTTTGGGGAAATGGGAACCATGCCGTCCACAAGCACTCTGTACCTTGCCCAGCAGTCATCTCTGGGGCACAAGCACCTTACTACAAAGAGGATTTGACAGGAGTGAGAAAATGTGTCACATCATCCCTCCCTTCTGATGGAAAAGCAACCCAAAGAGCATATCCCATTAACACTAGATCAGTATTGTCTATTTGTCAAAAAACATTCCATGAATCATGAGCCAAAATTTTATTTATGGTGGAGTGATACCCATTAGAAAATTAGAGTTTTTGTTAGTATAATTTATTAGCTGCAAAAGTTGAGAAGGTTCTCTGGACTCATTTTTATAGGTGGAATCTAAGTGATCTGGATCATTGCCCACCAACAAAATTGCTAGGCATGTAGACAAAGAAAATGTTCCTTCTAATGATTTTTTATGAGCTGAGTAGCTATTGTTCCCAGCTGAGTGCTCTTTTCCTCTTTTTATTGTTGCTGAGCAAAAGAATTTATAAAAAGCTCTTTTTTTTTATTAAAAAACCTTGCTCAATTGAAATTCAAGTTCATTAAGTCATGTTCATCCCTCTTCCTGCCATACTAACCCTTTCCCCCTCTGGCCTATTTAACAGTGCCTAGCAGCAATGGTCAACATTTTAAGTCTGGACAGATTATTATTACATAGATATCAATATATAGATAAGCAGTCTTTAACATTAAGTGGAGATTTTATTCCATATTGTCAGTGTATAATCACTCAGACTGGATGTTGGCCCAAAATTTCATATTAGTCCCTTGACTTGTAAGGGGAAAAAGCCCCCTGGAAAATTAAAACATCACTGGTATACTTCCATTGTGAAGGATGGTGATACTGATGAGGTATTGGTTCATTCTTAACACCATCTAAGCTATGCTAAAAGCCAAGAAATTAAAGTTGGTTAATTTTTATAAACCCAGTGTTTGCATAATAGCTAATACTTGCTGAATAACTGTGCCATTCTACATTCTACCTACATTGTCTCTTTTTAAAAATTTTCATAGCTACCCTGAGGTAGAAAAACCAAAGACTCAGAGGAGTTTAGGAACTTTTCCAAAAACTTTTTTCAGTGGTGGGACTGGGATGCAAATACCATTTTGCTTGACCCTGAAGTAYATGCTCTATGAAAATAGTTTATGGAAGGATCCAGTGTGTTGAGACGTCACAAGCAAGGGGTTACGTCTTTAATTCTGTCTTGGAAGCTTATGATACTATCCAACTGCACATGGCAAAATTTCAGTTACGTAGTTAGGCAGCATGGACTTCGTTGACTCTGAAGGAATGGAAGGAGTGTTGATGAGATTTTACTTGAAACATTCGTGGGCAAGTGCTCCCAAGGAGAACATCCAAAGCAAGGTTCAGAAGACAGCTCATGAACTTGAAGCAGCAGATTTGGGGAGAGAAATGAAGACATCATTCAATATATTAACGATAAGAACAAGACTGAGTTTATTGACAGAAACAGAGAGGCAATGAAAAAATATGGTTAAGGACTAAGACAACTGAATCAAGATAACTTGCAGCAATTAAAAAGGAATTATGAGGCTTTAGTAGAATTTTTAAAAATTGTTTTTCACTATTCTCAGTTTCAGGCTGAGTTATTTGTCCATGTTAATGCTTTCATGTCAAATTTGAAATTATATTTGCAATTATAGGGTTGTCTAGTAGAATCAGTAGAATTTTATCTGAATGTGTCTTGAGATTTTCACTGAACTCTATTTCCAGTGTCTGTATTCAAATGTTGAAGGGGTTTCCAACTCCTCATGACTAATATTCATAGCAGACTTATGCACTCCCTGAATATTAGGTACACCTGTKTTTGAAAAGAAGCGCATACCAAAATCAACTTGGTGATTTTCCATTTATCTACTCTTGGATCATCAATGCCTTTGCTCTTTTCTTCTGTGAATGGGGATGATCAAGAGTTGACTTTCCAAGTGTTTACGTTTTGGCTTCTATGCCTCTGGAGTAGGATGATATTATCTAATGACGCATCCTCTGTGGTAAAATGGGACATCAAATTTGCATAGTCTCCATCCTAGGCTGATGTATAGTGCTGTGTTGCAGAGAGAGCAGCTCCRGCAGAGATGCAGCCTTCCCTAATTAACCCCACTTGGATTTGAGTTACGCTTTGTTCCTTGGCTTCTTGGTACTTATGTATTCACTTTGCTCTCTACTGCATTCCACTTGGTTCTCACTTATGTACAATATTGTTTGGACTTTTTCTCTTTCTTATAAACAGGGATTTTTGTAAAGCCAATGTGTGAAAGTGTGAATATACTAAATTTTAAAGAAGTGAAATGAAATACTGT